TTGCTTTTCAATACCTGAAAGACATTCAACAGTATTATAAGCGTTTTGTTTTCGGAGATGACTCCAGCATGAGATCACTGCTCCTTAAAACCTTTAGCAGACAAATCACCTCCAGAGGCCCTGAAGATGACGCCTAAAAACCTCGACTGCTATTAACTACTGATTAACTACAGCTGAAGTAAATGTTTATGAAATGGCTCGTATTTATTTGCATTTAATTTTATTTGCATTTCCCCTCTCCCTTCATGATTAGGCCTATGGATCCCCTGTTTCCTGGTGGGATTAGACCGGCCACTTTGATGTGGGTGGTTTCCTGCTTAATGTGTGCGGGCAAGCCTCTTACGCCTGTGCGTGTGGCGCGGTTGAGGTGAAGGGGTACGCGCAAGCCCCCTTTTTACTCTGGCAGTGTTTGGATGTAGTGCGTGACTTACCGTGAAACCATAAAAAGCAGATTCAGGAACAAATACAGCTGTGAAACACCATTCTCGGCAACTAAAGTAAACACTTCTGATCACAGCTTGCTCATTTGGCCACATATGTGTCGTTTTGTGTCTGTGTGTGTTCCTCCTATTATGCAAATGAATGTCCATAATTTTTGGGTTTTAACAAGCTATGGTGTGTTTTGCCAAGTAGAGGTAGCTGATTTAAATCAACAAAATAAACACAGGAAGCATTGATAACATCTCTTGCACATGGGAACTTAGTATTTTTTAGAAAATTTACCAATTCTTCAGAGACACAATAAATGTTCAATATGCATCACTATTATTATATTATAATTCATGTTTAATCTATTAATGTTGCCAAGAAACATTGTCATCCGAGTGTCAGTTGAGGTTTAAAAGTAAAAAAAACAACTAAGTAATATACAAACTTTGGACTTATAAATATGTATAACATAAAAGTTCATTCTTCATGAATGAATGAAGAATTACTTCTTTTGCACTAATCACTTGTGAGCTCTCGAACATTTGATGACAACTGAGTTATTGTTTCTATGACAATGCAGGAGACCGTCTGTGTAATGATCGAAAGCTCCAGAAAGCTAGAATGTGGCTTTGAGTTAATAATATATGACCTCGAACAAAAATACAGGACTCTGCAACGTGTGGAAGGCTAGTCGGCTGAAAAAGTGTTCCTAAGTGTTGCTGTTTAAATAACATTTCAGTCACTTATTGATGGAAGCGGAAGGAAAGGATTTACACCTCAGTGTTCAGAAAGCTCCTGTGCTAATATTATAGCTCAACAACACACGCTTTACAAAAACAGCAGCATGACATCCTTCAAGGAAAAAAGAAAAACCTTTAACGGCAATGACCTGAAATATTTACCCAGGGTGACTTTTGAATGGTGCACTGACTGCTCGAGAGGTCCCTGCACACCTCCGCCGAGAGGCCGGTTGTTTTTTTTGCTCCTGATGCAGAACAGATTAAACTTTTTGGACATTTAAAGAGTTGAACACGTGTGCGATCAGCTTTGCGGCCTGTGAAAGAAATATTTAAACATTGATATGACCCTTAAATACAGTGTGTGTGTGTTTGTGGCTGCTTCATAGTCATTTTGTCTTGATGAATATGACCTCTCAGTGGAGCACACGCAACCACCGAGAGGTCAGATAGAACACCGGCCTGTCAGCAGCGTTTCTGATTAGCTGATGGCATAAAGCAATTAAAGGTTGTCTTGGTCTCTTGCCGAGTGTACTTAAATGACATTTGTTCAGGGCCTGGTAGTGATCGGCATGTTATCCGGTTTACGACAAGCCGAGGAACCCATATGTGAAGTCAGCGGATCATTTTCAAGTGGCTATGAAAGCTGTTACTCATCCAGCAGATCATGAAAAATGATCGTAAAAGCTGCTTCACTCATCATCGTGTGGCTTTTTCCTAAGAGAGGAACTGAGTCGACGCTTTGATGATGAGAGTGAACGCATCGCGTTAGTCAGCGGTGGCTTGTATTAAATCTGCTCTTTTATTTATTAAATCCTCTTATTCATATACTGTAAGCATCGTTCTCATTTGGCTGCGGCATATTTAACTTTGGGATTTGGTGCCATCGTGAGGGCATATCTGGTAAAGTCGGACTATAACTTTTTAATACGGAGTTTGCACTCTGGGATTGCATGATTCAACAGGGGACACTAAAAAATATCCCCGTATTCCAGTAACTCGTCCTTCTAAAGCCAAGCTCATACTTTATGTGGTTGCTGACTGACTCAGAAAGGAAAAACGTTCTTCGACACTTTCTCTCAAACATACAATCAATGCTTCTTACTTTTCCACAGTGATCACACACACACACAACGGGGTTTATGTGGATGTGGTCCTCTGCCAATCGTGAATGTTAATGCTCTCCTATAACGTAAGTGTTCATTTAAATTATATTAGTCACAAATGGACACACTTTCCAGTGATTTTGCACAGAGGGAGACATTTTTTTATGTGTTAATTCTTTGCACAGTAGTTCTTCCACGTGTAAGGCGGCGCACATGGGACTAAGCACAGGAAGTAAGAAGTATTAGCCTTGAGTTGAAGATCCGGTGCTTGAGTTTGGAAATAAACACTTAAAGTATCCGTGGAACCAACTCACCTTCACAATGCATGCTTTTGATATGCGTTTCTCTTAGAACACCTCGGCCTGCAGTAGAGCATTGTGTGGTTTTTCAGCATGAACCTCTTTGATCATTTTTAAGATGAATTATTCATGGGCCCTTTATCGTGTGAATAGCATTAATTTAGCCCTACTTGCTTGCAGCTTTCACTCAGCTGGTGGAAAGTTCATGAGATGTAATTGCTGCAAAAAGAAGTTAATAAAGTCTCTCAATCCAGCCCTAACCCTAACCCACTGTAAAAGTTATTATATGTGTCTGTAATCGGGGTGGACAGAACCGCCCTCATATGCAGTAGCAGCAGCTGTGGATAATCATGTTTCTCGTGATTGTTTTTTTCACGTGTCTGTAAAACATTTCTGTTGTATTTAAGTTGTTTAGAATAGGAAGAAGAAAAAACGCAGCACTGCGTGCGCTGGAACAGGTACGTATCCTGACTGGCACCAAAAAAAACACAGCAACACCTGGAAAACTAACAGTTTTCAAGCAAACTTCCATTAGTGAAACATTCCCATATGGCATTTCACGCCCCTTCCAAAAAATACCAAGAGAGTTTATTTTGGCTGCGCACTTCTTCCAGCGTCCAATATTCATTAATAAAACGCTGGCTTTAACTTTCCACCTTCTCCCCTAAACTCTCAATTGACTGCAGAGGCTGTTTGAATCCCCTCAGCTCTTCTCTGTTTGAGGGATCTCATCCAGCACCATTAACACGATTCAATCGTGTTAATGGTGCTGGATGAGATGGATAAGTGGTTCATTCATAACTCACAGAATAGAAAGTAAGAAGCTCTTCGAGGGTCTGTGTTACATTTTATTGCATTGGTCTCTGGCGTGAGATAAATATTGTGATAATGTGCACAGTGCGTTGTCTATGTGTTCGGTTTCCACCAGGTCATACAAACATGGGAAATTTGCTTTTACTACTTGTTTTTAATAAATGTATCATTGTGAAGAAGTATTGATACTGAAATTGAATGTTTGCAAATGAAACAATGACAATTTTAATATAAATTTTACAATTTTACATTTGAAAATGGTATTAAAGTTTCATGATGTGTGTCTTTGGTAACAGCATTTAAGAGAAAAGCCACAAGATAGCAGCAGTTCTCTTCAGCGAAACATAAACTAACACTTACCCACAGAGGGCAGTACGTGAAGCTTTCTTCACACACGTAGGTACACACAAGTAGGCAGCCGCTCTTAAAATTCATTCATTCATTCATTCAAGGCAAGTGAAATTGATTTCAAAATGGTCAAAAATTGTTAATATCATTTTTTTTAAATGTATTATTAATTTATTTATTATTAAAAGTGACCATGTACATTAAAAAAAAAAACATTGATGCACTGTACCGGATTTTAGATTTGAGCTAATTCACATCTGCAGTGTCTAATTTATTACATAAAAATAAAAATGTAATAAAAATTTAAATCCCATAATAATAAGTCATACCTTAAATAAAAGGCCTTGAAATAGATGGTTGTTGTAAATATTTTTTATCAATATATATTATATAGGAATAAGGATTGAATCAAAGCCTGTGTGGTCTCTGTGAGAGGATTCCTTCAGCAACCCTTTCCTGGAGTTGTACCTATCTGGCTTATAATAAAAGGAATATCATACTAACCTTTATTAAACCATTGACATTGATTCGGAAGCTTGAACTGTCCTAAATCAATCCAAACCCGGGGTCGTTTTTTTCGTGTTTCCTCCCATGCTTTTTTACACAGCTTATTGTGCTTTATTTATGAGGATGACACTGCATGGCCCTTTGATATAACAACATGCATTGATGCCACACATAACACATTTTAAAATATTTATCTCACACAAGTGCATAGGTGTACGGCCTAAAGGTCACAGTCTAAAGGTCACAAAATTATATGATCAAGGAAAATGTACAACCACACATATGGGGGCAGATTTTCTAGAAATGCTGGAGTTTGCATCCAATCATTGAATTCGTATTGGTCCTGGTACGTCCAGGTATTTCTTGGGGCAAAATAAATATACATTTAACTCGTCCTTAGTTAACGTAGACTACAGCCATCAGCCGTTTGCTGAAACATGAACACATCACCTCCAGTATGCTTTCAAAGATGGGTCGGAGGTGTGTGGAGGAAAAAAGAAGAGCTCTCACTTCTTTTACATTTCTAGGTATAAAGGGATTAGCTCAGTGTCGTACTATTTGCCTCAAACTATACTACAAGGACATTGCATTGAGTTCCAATAACATCATTTTGTTGTATTCAAATATGGGTGGTAATAGATAGGTGACTTCAAGGTTAACTCTACTCACCAGGTAGGCACCATGTCAGGCTTTTTTCCCTCGGGATCATCTTCGCGTAAATAGACGCTCTTTGCATCAGAGAGCGTCCGCTTGCTAACGTTGAGCAAACTGTACGCTGTCGTCAGTTCCGTTACGCGTTCCTTCTGGTTTCATTAAAAAAAAGGGGTAGACAGGAGATTATTTAGGAAGACAGGCGCAGCTGGAATAAGGCTCTGGTCGGCTATGTCGTGGACATATTCGTGAACTAGAGCACTACGTTGTTTCGGACTGACGGGTTTTCCCTCGGACTGACAGAAGACCCGTCGGTGTCCTCTAAGCCGCGCGCTCACTGGGATGCGCTGCTAGCTTGTCGTTAGCTCGCTCGCTAGCTTCCCCAACTGCTCCGGGCTTGTTTTTGTAGTTGCTTTTTTTAAACGACGCGACCAAGCGCACCGTAAGTCAACCCGTTTGAAAACCACGATATGGCATTGAATTTTGTATTAACATTGTGTGTTTTCCCATTTACGAATCTGCTAGCCAATAAGCTCCGTCCCCGGGTTGTGTGAGACCAGCCTCCTCCTAACAGCTGGTCGTATGTGAAGTAGAAGGAGGCCTTTTTGTTGCTGCTAGAAAGCACATTCTCTTTCAATCCTGTGCACGCTCTCCTCAAACGACTTTCATAATCGGTCATGTTTAGCTGCCCGATGAAAGCCCCACTGTGTCGGCAGCGGGTTGAAGGCAGTGCGGAGGCCTGCGTGTGGCATTAACAAGTGAGCACCTGCGCTGATGCACCTGTCCGTTGTCTTAATCCATGTGGAACCTCGCTGTCGTTTTATCAGCCACTGTCCGCGATCGCTTACCTTTCTAATGACGGTAACGATCATTGTCTCTTTTGTAGCACCTTTTTTTTATTCAAGTTATGCCACCAGTCCCTCTTAGTACTGTGTTAATGATTTAATACGCCCGACCCCCCCCCCCCCCGTGCCATTTCTTATTGACTCAGGCTGGTTTAAGTGGTTCGACTAACACACCAAAGATAAGGGGATTGAGGGAGTTGGCACTGTTGCAAGATCACAGCTCATTTCATGTTATTCAAAGGAGTCACGTGGTTGCTCAGTGTACGAGGTAGACGACTACTTTTGCCCCCAATATGTAAACATTTTTTTTTTTGATTTTGTAGGCACCACATGAAGTTATTGTCTTCAAACGGAGAATATGTACATTGTTTTTCCCCACACACAGTTATTTTGTTTTGGGTGTTTATTGGCCAAGAGAACCAACCACTCGGGTTGTCTAAAGTCAACAGATGTTGTCATTTCTCAGGATGTGGACCGGGCACGGCCCGCGGAAGCCCACTTACAATAGGCGAGGGAAAATGTAAACACGCGCTGCCTCCCTTCAAACAGCATCTGGGGTGTTGGCAAGATATTTTACTGCCATAAACCCGAGTTGGAGTCGGCCACACGGTAGCAGCATGTTTCAAAATGTTTCTTTCAAGTTAAAACACATATGCTGTACACTCATTTTGAGTTATGTTGCAGCATATGTGTACGGGCCTGAAATAAAAAATAAAAAAAACAGAACTTGCTGATTGCGTCCTGTCTACTTCTGTGGTTTGTACCCGCTGGACTCTCTACACACAGATGCCTTTTTTTCTTTTTTTGTTACAGTTCGGCTGGTCTGTCCGGTCTGACTAATCCTGTTGGTTGTAACTCACGTTTTATTTTTTTAAACCGGCCACTTTGTTTGATTTGAACACCAACAAGTGAGTCTTGTCTTTGCAGAACGCTACAGTGCCCGTGGGAGTAGATCCAGCTGTGACATTTACCCGTTAAGCCTGCTCTGCAATGTGAAAACCATGTGGAGGGTCATTTTCCACCATCATCCGTGGCTCTTGTCACGCACACACCATTAATTATTTTCCTTCCAAGCCAAAAGTAGGAGCTATATTACTACTTGTTCGGCACTTTGTTATGCTGAGTAAGTGTAGTTTCCTGTTAGACTGATCAGACGATGTTGATATATTCATTTCGTAATCCCCTCTCTTGTCTGGCTGTTCAGCGAATGCTTTGCTGCTAACATCCCAACCTTTCATAGGGTGCAGAGTGGCCACTTCAACAAGGCGGCTCATTGTAGTGGGCCGGGGGGGGCTTTCATAGGTGAGCGGTATTCATGCCGAGCGGTAGCCTTGCTCTTTAGAAACCCACCTTTTCTTTTATTTGTGGCAATTACGTTCCCATCTGCCCAATGCATTAGCCGACGACGGTCTTTGCTCTGCCCTCTTCAATTCCGATGGGCCTTGCTGTTTTTCCCATTCTTGCTTTTTTTTTTTTTTGTGGTGGTTTGTTGTTTCAAAGGTTCATCTGTCTGTCTGTCTCTCTCTCTCTCTCTCTCTCTCTCTCTCTCACAGACGTAGTGCATTATGACCGACAGCATTATGAGTAAAGCTGCCACAATGGAGATTCCCATCAACAGTAATGGAGACACAGGAACTCTACCAGAAGACGACAGCCTGGAACAGGTGGGTCCCAGTTCTGAATCTGTTGATTCCGTAGTCGTGGTTGTTCCCTAATTTAAAGCTGTTGTTACAGACACGTATTCTTCCAAACCCAAGCTTCCAAATGATAAGTTACACAGTCAAAAGCAAACAAGTGAGACGGTTATTTTCTTAATTATTTACTTGTTGGTAATGTATTGTTTACGACACATAAAAATATCTTCTACTGCATGACTATTATTGGCCATTTACAGCTTTTTGATGACTTAAATGTGCTTTAACAGTGGTGTGATTTAAAAAAAAAAAAATATATATATATATATATATATATATATATATAGCTATTGGATGTATACTTGTTAAAGAATTTGTTTATTTTTAATGAAAATGTAGGTAAATGCTTGAATCCTTTTGTCGGGTTCTAATTCAGAAAGAGATCACAGTGACTTTCCCTTCTGTTATAAGGATAAATATATGTATACATTAGCAGCCACATTTGTAGGATGTATTCAGTGACATAGTACTGTATCTGAAGGTTATATCATTCACATGAGGGCACATGAAGAAAATACATTTAAGCCGATGTCATTATGTGGTAGTGCGGCTGGTTAAACCCAGTGTGACGGATAACTGCAGGCTTCCGGTTGTTTGAAGTTGACATTCGCTATGGGATGTAGTCTGATCACAAGATCAGTAAGCTGGTTCTTTTTCCTACCAATCACACTATTGCACTTCTATCCTGTGATAACATGCACAGTACAATTTGTAATACTAATCCTATTAGCAAATAGAACCACCTATTGTTAATGCCTCACATTGCCTTGATGAAGCTCTCCAGAGCAGACTGATCACTCAGTATATTTATTAAGTCCTTTATTGAGGGAAAAAGCTCTGCATTGTTCTCAGCCTGTGTTTCACTATTCGTGTGTAGTGTGTTGCCTGTTCTACACAACCAGAAGTCCTCGTGCTATGTTGCTTGCTCGGATCCTTTTGGATACGTGCGAAAAGATATTTTACTGTGAGATTTAGGTTCGCGGCTCATGTGTCCTCATATGTCTATGCTAGTCATTAAATTGAGACGCTGAACCTTCGGCGTGGGGACTGCTAAGCACTCGTGAGCCTCACTCAATATTAAAAAAAAAAAAGAACACCAACATTATGTTTCCATAATCTTCACCGGTGTCTTGGCCTCAGTTAGAATGAAATAACAGATGAGCTGTAGGGTCGGTTTGGTGGAACGGGTTGTTCCTTCTCCTGCGCCCAAGGCACACCTCGTTGGGCAAACAGACTTAAGATCCTGCAGGATCCTGTTATTTACTCACCTCAACTGTGGCTCCGCTGGCGTGATAAAATAAATCCCTACCGACGCCCAGTGTTCAACAAGCGTTTAGCCGCACGGTTCGGTGCTGCATATTAACCAGTTGCCATAGCAACCCTGAAACTAATCTCAAACTGGCTGTGCTTTGTCCTTTGGTGAAAGCCCTCTGAAATCAGAGTGACATCTGCTGAGCGGCGCTCGAGGACGGGCAGGTTACGGGAGAGCAGAAGTCTGGTTTCGGGTGCCGAGGCGTTCAGGGACGGTTGCCGCTAGCTCGACTGCCAGCCGCGTGCTGGCAGAAGCATATGATGTATCACGGAGATATACCTGCTTTATTCTTGCTAAGCGGCTCAGTTAAATCGGAGCCGCTAGTATGTGTCAACGTGGTATCCACTCTGTGCAGCATTCGTGCATAACCAGGCAATACACCCTTTGTGTTTGTGAGTCTAACAAACCTCACTGTTCAGACACGACTTGTATCCCCCGGAAGGCAACTTAAACGCACAGTAGTTTACTTCATCTCAAAGGAACGGGCTCTGTGTCAACAAAGTGTCCGGGGAGGATCAGCGTCTGCGGCAGCATTAGCCCGTATCGAACAGATCTCTGGAAAAAGAAAAAAAAAGACACAGACTAGATGAAGGAGAACATGGAGTCAAACAGGCCTTGTCTGTCTTTTTTGACATGTTTCGGGGTCTTTGGAGCTGTAGGTTTCTGGATAAAATATTGGTGACAGAATTTCTACTGATGTTTGAATGAAGACCAGTGTTGCACGTTACTCACAAACACTTTCATCAAAATGTACACTCTGGAGTTTGGCCACTCAAATGTAATATTTGTGTTTGTACACGGTTCCATCCTGATTGTTTTCCTCCTCCGTGTAAATGTTCCAGTTTTTTTTTATGTCTGTAAATGTCTTGTTAAGAAATCTCATTTGTGCAGCGCTTAATGATAAAGATTGTGGTGCCTTAAATGAGAGCCATCTCACTCTCTCCATGTGTACCAATTAGGGCAACCTGGTCTTTGTAGTTATTTTAAGACCGCTAATAAATAAATTAAACAATGTATTTACTCTGTAGGGAAAGTTTACAGAAGAAACATTATAATTTTAAACCCACATTATTCCACAAGAATCCGTGATGAAACCATATCATGGAAAGGCCGTGGTAACACATTATAGACGCAAAGTAATGACCTACAATGTTCCAAGCAGACTATGTTGACATCGTGGACTAGATGATCATGTTGAAGCTTCAACACAAACAAGCTAAATGACCAATCCTGAGCGGCTGTGATATCAGTCATCACTGCTCTCCATCTTACATCCCTGCTGTTTGTGGACATTATGGCAATTTTTCTGGGATTTTATTATTTCTATTTTCATCAGTCTTGCTTTATATTTTCAGTCATGGATTTTTCTTATTGTCTCTTCTTTTTCTATTCGTTTTCTTTTTGTTGTTGTTGTGTTTGTCGATTTCCCCCCTCCATCTCTGTGCAGGCTGCAAAACTGCAGTGGAGCTTAGATGAGAAGGTAGGGAGCTCCAGAGGCACCAGGGTGAGCAGGCCATTCGTCCCTTTGTGTGTGTTGGTGTGTAGTGCTGCTCAGTGGTTTGACTTCATGTGGCATTAAACGGCTTTTCCTTTTCATGGCAAACCACTGTGCAGGTTGAATCGTTCCGCCTGTGCTCCTACTAACTCTAATAGTCTCTGAGACGTGACGTGTTTTGAGAGATATCTCTCAGGTTGAGTGTTAACAAATGTAGCGGCCATCTAACCCTTTTACTACCAAATGACCTGTAACCTAGATCTTGATAATGCGTGGGTGTGATTCTTCAATTTTAATGGGTGTTTGTTGACGAAACAGTGATTATACTAATGACCATCATGTTGTGCTGCATATTGTTGTGATTTTCAGTCATGAAAAACTTGTGTTGTGGTAGGAAAGTCAAGAGAGAGCGGAGTCTTGACTAGAAGCCCATAAGGCCCTGAAGCACAGCTCCAATAACTTTCTGATAGATTATAATATAGAAGATTCCACGTTTATCCAGCAACAGTACCTTTACTTATACTATGGTTGGATCAAACAGGCTTTGCTTTCCCATGAATTCTTGACAGATGTTTTTCATACTTTAAGCAGGATGGCAAAAAAAAAGAAAGAAAACCACAAGTTAAAATGGGGAGCGACTTAGTTCCGCTCACGAATCCGGAGCTTCACTGAAACCGGTGATTATTTTAAAGGAGAAAATGCAGGAGTACGGGATATTTAGGTCACGCCGCCAGCTAGGTAGATTATTGACTGGGCACTTTGGGTATCTTTGTGGTTTTTCTCACACTTTATAGTCTTTTATTCTGGCTTCTAGATAAGCGGTTAAATTTAGACACTTCCTCAAGGTTGCGAGTAGCGACTAACCTTTCTAACATAGTGTTTGTCTCCCTCTAGCGAAAAAACCTGTCCTAATCTCCTGTCCGCATATCTCCACCCAAACCCCTCAACGCTTCCTTGTTCTTGTTCTGTTTTACATTCCCCACTTAAACCATGAAGGACCTGCAGCAGGTGATGGTGTCGGGTCCCAATCTGAACGAGACCAGCATCGTATCGGGGGGTTATGGAGGAACAGCAGAGGGAATCATCCCCACCAGCTCCATCAAAGGTAGAGTCCTACTTCTTCATCTCCGTGACACGGTGCTGCGCCTATGACTCGGGGGATATTCCATGAGTTTGATGATGGAGTGTTTGATTGATGGGGCCTCTTATTCTTCACATGAGCTCGTCCTGCAATTTAGTTGTGTTCAATTTGCACTTTGGGGTTTGTGTGAGAAGCTCCTTTTTCATAGTCTGCTGTAATGCATTCAGGCCTGTTTGTGGGCCACCACCTGCTGCCGTTTCATGCCTTGCAGACATTTTTTGAATCGTCTGATCCAATTGGATCCAACTAAACCAACCCCCCCCCCCCCCTTGTGAAAATGAGCGACAGCCTCCTCAATCAGAAGCCAACATGGGTAGAGCATAAAATCTCGCTCGACAGCGAGGATTGGCTGAAGCCACTAAAACCTGCACAGAAATCACTTGTGGTGCGCATACAATGGCGGCTGCACGTCTCTCAGGTTAATTTCTTAATTGTGTTCAAAACGTCACAGGAAAGGAGCATTTCTGATTCTTATGCTGAATGGTTTGTCTGAGGGAAATAATACTTCAGCGTCATAAAGGCGAGCGCTTCAGTGTGTTGTTTCCTTTCTTAGCCCCTTGCTGCGCTGAGAAAGATGTACACAAGCACATCCGTCTGCACGTTTTCTGGACTCTTATATTATATTTTAGAACTTGTTGGATTCAGTTTTAGCGTATTGTCAAACGGATTAGGGCAGATTGTAGCCACGGCTCTAATGTTTTGAATGGCGTGAAGCATTCATATATTTGTTCGTCATGAGGACACAATAATCCTGGACACAAAAAGCGCTGGTCGGCTGCAACAGGTTAGGAATGCTTTTTTTTTTAAATTATGAAAGTGTGTAAAAAGGCCTATGAAATTATAATTAAGTGAGTTCGTTAGTACTTCTGAATCCCAGGCGACTGTTTCATGTCAACAATCTCCACTTAATCCCACGTCATTTACCACTACTCCAATTTATCCCACTGTGCCCCAAATCCATTATGCTGTGTCTATGAGTTGTGTGATATTTAAGTTCTACAAAAGATTTAACATCATTTTCACATTTGTCTAGACATTGACTCCAGCAGTGTAGCAGAATAAACCGTGTCAAAGGGAAACTCCCGATGGCTTATTTGATTCTAATATTTCTGCTTCTTTGTCCCACTCTCTCTCTCAGGACCTGCTGTGCACTACAATGCAGCGTTTAACAAAAGGATCCCACTTACAGGATTAGGTGGCTCCTTAGACTTAACTACTATTTTTAACGCAGAGCTTATTTCCAAAATGTGACAGAATACTGTTTGGGGAGAGGAACGTATATATGATTTGGAACCTCATATATACTGTACTGAGTCTGTAAATATATATAGATTACTTTTAGGTAACTGCAGAACGTAATGAAATTTAGGTTTTGATTTATATTTTCATGTATATTTCTCACATCATGGCTATCTCATTTTGGAAAGAGACTTTTTGTACTTTTTTGGGATTGCTGGGAACCGTCTTTTGTGTCCTTTCCTCTATTTTTCAGTGGCGACAGGAGCAGTACACCTCCTTTTGCTGCTCTCCTCTTTTAAAGTGTGGCTTTTTCTATCAAAGCTTTTCATTTACATATTCCTTCTGGTTGTCTGAAAATTTTTCGTATTCCCAAAATAACTTAGTAAACAGGAACCATGGTCTATCAGTGCATATTTGTACTAAGACATTGAATACATATGGCAAAAGTAAGCTGTTTCTGAGAGTAAACGTATACGTTTTAGACAGCATCATTGTTCACATGTTTAATCTTTTTAATTTCTCATGTTGAAATGAAAGGCAAACCCAGTTTACTTAGTAAACTGTTTACTGGGTTTACTTAGAATGGGAAGTTGTGCTGCAATTCGACGGCCCCCGCCTTCATCATCACTCATTTCTTTGTTGTCATGCATTAAATGTGGTCGTTTCAGCTTTGTGCTTCTCTGTCTTTGTCATCCACCTCCTTTCCACCCATTCCCTCCTACATGTTCCTCATCCTCCTCGTCCTCTTGCTTTTCTGATTGCACTTTGTTTTCTGCATTTCCCTGCCACACAATCGTCCGCCTACGTTATCATTACATCCTTGGCCTTAAAAAAACAAAAAAACATCCAAAATCTAATGTGAATCCCGCCCCATCCCCCTAATTCATACCCACCCTGAACTTTCATGCATACCTGAACCCCGCCCCCCCTGCCCCTCCCCCACACCCAACGGTCACAGAACTGCGTATGAAGGCCAGGCGAAGTAGCGTTCCCCCGAGCAGTTCTATCTCCCGGCCCATAGCGAGCCACTCAAATGAGCACAAAGGTACTGGGGAGGGAACGATGGGCCCTACATTGATTGATCATGTTGCAGTGACCCAGAATATCCCCACCATGTGCAGCATTTCACCTTTCAATATAAATATATTTAGTTTCTACATTAATGGGATTTTTCCCGATATATCCTATTTATTAACTCCTGCTCGCTCAAATGCATGTTTTACATGCTTTAGGAACGATGCAGATTGACACGGCTTGAAACTAGCAGACAGATTTCAGGAACTATCCTCACATATGTCTTATCGGTGCTAATGTACTTCTCTATAGGATCTTGTCTTTGCTGGCCTATAATCTTGTCTGTTTGTTTGTTTGTGTGTGTGTGGCGTTTTAACAAAGTTCCTGTGTTTCTGCGACGTGTCTCAGGTTCCAGCATGCACCACAGCAGCAGCAGCTCGTCGATGGCGGCCGACGAGGCCACCCGCGGCGTGGCTGTGGAAAAGCTAGAAACAGTGAAGAAGTGGGGACTCAACACTTACAAGGTGTCTGAAGTTCTGTAGTGTTGACCTTCATGATAAAATGTTTCTTAATTGGTGGCTGGGAGCCCTGTGGAATGAGGAACCCCTCCCTCGCATGGCGCTTACGCGCTATGCATTCTGTTCCTGATCTCTCGGTCTGTCTTTTTATGTCTTCAGTGCACTAAGCAAATGATCTCTGAGCGCTTCGGTCGGGGTTCCCGCACTGTGGACATGGAGCTCGAGGCTCAGATCGAGGTGCTGAGGGACACTAAAAGGAAGTACGAGAGTGTGCTGCGATTGGCCAGAGCGCTGACTAACCACTTCTACAACATGGTGCAGACCCAGCATGCACTGGGGGACACCTTTGCTGACCTCAGTCAGAAATCTCCAGAGCTGCGGGTGAGGCCTAAAACTCTGTTCATGTAGCTTTGACTCTTTAACTCTCAAGCTTCAATCTGCTGAAAGTTGAATAAAAGGTCTGTGTAGAAACATTTGAAACCTTTTTTTTTTTAATGGATTCTAGTTCTATCGTGTGCTTTCATTCAGGATGAGTTTGGCTACAACGCAGAGACACAGAAGTTGCTGTGTAAGAACGGGGAGACTCTCCTCGGTGCCATTAACTTCTTTGTGTCAAGCATCAACACACTGGTCAACAAGACCATGGAGGACACCCTTATGACAATCAAGATGTATGAGAGTTCCAGGTGAGAACATGCAGCACATTTACAGTTACTATTCCCTCTTTGTCTTTTCAATATTCCCCTCCATGTCCTTCTTTTTCTTAAAGTATGGGAGGCTGGAGGCTGGAGTTGAGGGACGAGATGTACAATCAGGATGTTTCACAAGTAGCTAGTTTACGAGCTGACATTTCCTTTTTGTTAATGAACAGGCTGGAGTTTGATGCCTACCGGTCAGACCTGGAGGAACTGAGTCTGGGGCCGAGGGATGCAGTCGCCATGGCGCGCATAGATGCTGCTCAGCAGCAGTACCAAATCCAGAAGGACAAATATGAACGCCTCCGCTCAGACGTCATCATTAAACTCAAGTTCCTGGAAGAGAATAAGGTCAGTGGGCCTTCAAAGTGAAAGAAGGACATCCTGTAGGATGTAGTCCGTGTGTGGTGATGATACGCAAAAATAAGTGTCCCTCGTTTGTTTCCATCAGGTGAAGGTGATGCATAAGCAGCTCCTCCTCTTCCATAACGCCATCTCGGCGTACTTTGCTGGCAACCAGCAGCAGCTGGAGCAGACGCTGAAGCAGTTCAACATAAAGTTGAAGCCTCCCGGGGACGACAAGCCCTCCTGGTTAGAGGAGCAGTGAGGAGATCCGCCCCAAACCTCCCGCAGCCGCCTCTTCGACCACCTCCACCCGTTACCGTTTGAACACCCAACTTTACAGGGGACGTCTGCAGGGGGAAAACGTGCGGCTAGATGATTGGACGGATGGATCGCAGGGTATTATTTGGTATTAATGGGCAACATGAAGCAGGGAACCAAGCGGCCAGTTCTCTGGAGAGACCGGGTGGGTGGGGCTTATAGTGCCTCTCCCCAACTTCCATTTTTTTTTCCCCCCACTCGGACTTATTCTTTATACTTTGTTCACCCCCCCCCCCCCCCCCTCCGATCTAACTCCTGTAAATGTCATCACTATTTTGCTGTGTCAACTTTAGTCATGGTCACCATTGTTCTCCTCAAGTGCTAACTTGTGCTCAGAGTTAAACTTCAACCCCGCACCATCTTGGGTACAGAGACAAGATGACAAAAGGAGACGGCGACAAATCCATTAAAACACCCTCGGATGTGACCAAACGCTGCGTCAGAAACTCTTCCAGACCGTTTCACTCTCGTCGTGTGCCTCTTTATTTGTGCGCTGACGCACTAGATGAACACGTGGCCTGCAGGAAGAACGATAAGTTCAGAAAAACAGGTTTGAAACTCCACAAGAAGGGGATTCTACACTGGAAAGGAACGCTTGAGTATTTCCAATCAATGTACATTTCAAATGAAGTACTATTTAACATTTGAAATAGAATGATTGTTATTTGCTTATACAACGGAAACACTACTGTGTTAAGTTCAGTTTTTGCTGTTTGTTTGATTTGTAATTATTATTATGTTGTGCTTCAGAGAGACGCACAGTACACTGTTTGTCGGCTGGTGCTTTAGGGAGAAAGTACCAAAAGACGTAGTCTGCAATTCTCACTAATGCTACAGATTTCAATTGTTTTTACATCAACTCAGATATGCAACGATTGTTTAGTGAACACTGCCACCGCTTTCCAAAAGGTCCCACTGGTTGGGATCTGTACTAATGATCTTTTATTTTCCCAAAGATAATTGAGAGACATGTTTACTGTCATTTCAGTGGTTGCTTAAGCAGTTTGCCTTTGGACTGACGAGGGTTTGAAGGACAGTTGAACCACGCTAGATGGGCGTCAGTCAGGCGGTTAACATACAACAAACTTCACTCCTTTTTCTTTGAAAAGGAATTAATTCCATATTTGTTTCACATTCTTACATGGAAATGTGTTTTTGCCTTTAAAGATAACGAGGACACGTCATTGACATCTAGGGTCTTATCGTTCAGGCTCCCTAAAGCAGAATATATTTGTCTATGGTTCCCTTTCTTCACACTGAAGATTACTTTTCAATATTCCTAATCCTAATATTTCTAACATCAAACTTGTATAGTAGTTGGGCGATGTGATAAAACTACTTATTCATTATTTGTTTAATGTCCTTTAACTGAAACGTTGTCTTTAGTATAATAAACAATCATCTATTGTTGACAATTAGAAGATATTACTGCAAAATATCGGCATGGTACTACAAATGTAATGTGTAATGTAATTTTTATGCATCAATGTATTCTGTTCATTATATCTGTTGATCTGTTGGAATCAACGTATCTGCAAATTACTGGAATTATGAGCATGACGCTAATGACGTTTTTGCAGCTAAAGAGCGTGTAGGATATTCTCACGTGTGTTAACAGATTCTGTAATTGATATACTCCAAAAAATATTCCTACACCAACTGATCACAAGTAGTTCTGTTTTCCAGTGTTGCACCTCTGAAGTCCGCTGAAGATGATCCGGTATAATGAATGTTTTATCACGCTGAATTGATCTCAGTCACTGCGTCTGTCCTCCTCCTTGTCGTCTCTGTATTTGCATGGCAGGCAGCAACCCAAAGTACAGGTGCGTATCTGTGTGGACGCACTGATGCTCTGCTCTTGACCGTCTGCTCGCATGGACTGGCATGGCGTCGTGCTCACGGTTGTTGATTTTTTATTTATTTTTTTTCAAATCGTAATCCCGGCTGAAGCGAAATCCAAAATTTGGGTTTCCTTTGAATTGTGCTGAGGACAATTAGATTTAGATTTTTGATGAAAAGGTGATTTTAAGGAATTAATTGTGTGATTTTGGTTTGGCTTGAATTTTCTGAGCGCGTATCGGTGGGTGTGTTTTTTGAACGAGTCGCCCAGTAAGAACCGGGCCTCACCGATTATCTCCTGGTCCGTTTGATCGTCGTACAGCAATATCAACAAAATGTGACTCCTCTTTTCCAAACCTGCCCGTTTCAAATTCCTAACCCCAACAACCGAAATGAATGGCAATAGGATATTTCTTTTGTTCAGTAATTGTGAAACCTCCATTAAATTGAAAAAAGTGTGACGAGCATTTATTGTCACTCTTACTAGTGGTCTGTAGATTGTTGTTGAGAGAGAACTGAGAGTTTATAAAATGAGATATTTTATTTGTGTACAATCAATATTTTGTAGTCTGAGCTGGTGTATTGTACTGTATGAATGATTGCATATAATGATATTTAAGATATAAATGAAATTGTCATTGATTGATGTGATACTTCATTCTGCACTCCGACCTGAAAAGTCCCACCTGACCCCGAGGGAAAAAAAATTAAAGTACACATTTTCAAATGGTCTGGCTGTATTTTGTTTCTGCTTTCATCCAGTTCATATTATTTCATCCAGTCCATGTTGCACTGAGGCCCAGTGTGCTTTCTGTTGCATGCAAACATCACTTGTATTTAGTCAAAACTTGCGTGATTACAATTTATAAAAAGCTATTTAAGAACTAACCCTCTAATCAAGCTTCATTTATCAATGTTTCTCCTGTTACATTATAGATTTTTGTTGGAAGTTTGACCCCCGTTGTTGCTCACCGAGTGGAAGTTTCACCCATCATGTTGCTTACCTCCCCTCACAAAGGGCGTTCCCGCACCTGGAAACTGACTTGAATGTGATTGGCGGAGGCGTCCTCCTGCAGCTGTGATTGGCGGAGGCGCGTCCTGCACCTGTGACCGCTGGTTGTGAGACAGACGAGGCGCAGACACACGAGGCGAGATCGCCGAGAGGATTTATGTGACAGCTACGTTTTAGTGCGGTAAGTAACGAATTAAAAAAAATAAAGAAAAAGAACTGCACGCCGGGAGTCTCTTAAAGCGCCACTGTGCGTGTTGTTGCATGCGATGGATGCTTCGTGAAGTTCTGTGAGGATGAGAGTCCTGCGTTGTATGTAAATAACTGACAGCGAAACTCTCACAAGGACACAAACGTGTTTTATCAACGATTTCAGAGCCATGTTCGGCTTAGGAACAGCCCAGCACACAGTGCGGGGAGTTTTGGTACGATTTCTCTAATTCGAGTTGGGTTCGACTCTTATTTTGAGATGAACAGCTGATATGGGCAGAGAAGCCTCTAGAGATCATTTCTGGTGTAATTAGTTGTATTTGATATGATTTATATGTCGTTGTTTGTTGGCTGGCATGCACAGGTGCATCAACTGTTAAGTCAGGGTATTTATCTTTTAATGTAAGAAAAGCAACATCCTCTCAATGACGTTTCGTGTTCTATTAACATATGGAAGAACTATACTTGTACAAAAGCCTTATTATGCAGCCCATTTTATGCTGTGTTTTGTATAGTTAGAGGAAGTGAAGTAAAAGGTGAAACGAAAATGTCACTTCCAGTGCCTTTTTGAATAGTGCATCCAAAATAACAAAACAAACTACCTTCTGAACGCTTCTCTTTGATTAAATCTTAGATATTTTTGCCTGTCAGCAAAAAGAAACTATCCGAATGCTTTTTTTATTGACACATAGTTTTCTGTTCCAAACTAATTCTTTTTTTTTCTAAAATACTGCATTCTTATGGATTAATATTTCAGTATTTCCTCAGATTTAATTGGCGGGATACCTCCTCCTCCTCCCATAATCCCGGACAGATGGAGGGAGTGCTGATTTTAAAAACTGCCCCTCTTCCTAACTGTTCCTCGCAAGACTCTTCTGCTCCTCCATCACCGGGTGCTCGGGACGATCCGGATTTGGAGTCGTCTTCTCCCGTGCCTCCCCAAATGTGTGCCATTGCTGTACCACCACCTCCGCCACCTCCTCCTCCTCCTCCTCCACCTCCACCACCCCCCCCTACTTTCGGCCCTCGCGACGTCCGCCGGCGCTCCATGAAGAAGCTCAACTGGGACACCATCCCCAGCCAGCGCGTCCTGGGCAAACTGAATGTGTGGACGTCCAAGCGGCCTCAGAGGGATCTCGTGCTGGACATCCCCAGCATGGAGGAGTTGTTCAGTCACGTGGACAAAAGAGCCTCGCTGCCCAACTCGAAGGACGTGGGCCTGAAGGCCCACGAAGGCATGCACCTCTTTCTGCAGGAGCCTCAGCTGAAGAGCAAGGTTTGCACTCAAGGCCATGTTTGAATTTGTGTTTGACAGATCGGAGGGTAATTTACGGCTTTCGATTTTTGAAGTTCTCGGAACTTAATAGAGAAATGTGCAACCTGGGGAAGTAATAAACCCACGAATAGGAACTACCTTCTCAAAGTTCCACTCTAATCACGTCGCCAATGAGGAACAGCTAAAGTAGAGCGAGAGAGAGTGTTTGGCTTCCTCAAAAAGTATGAAATGTCATATTTGGTAAAGCTTGTCTTCTCATCTGAAATATATTCGAATAAATCGATTTCTGTTTGTATCTTTAGGTCACGATCCTTGACTCTAAAAAGAGCATGAATATTGGGATCTTCCTGAGACATTTCAAGAGGTACGGATGGCTTCTTTTTAATCTAAAAGAGGGTGATTTAGCATCTAAATGTAGACATTGTTTAGGATTTAGCACATGAACCCTCGACGAGCACACCCAACTAAGTCCGTGGGGTCAGGTGAAGAAGAGCAGTCGGCGGTCTTCTTCCACCTGACCTCAGAGCAGAGCGCTCTCGTGTCTCTTAACACACTAGTCACTTCCGCTCCGCTAATCATTACCCGACCAGCAGGCCCTTTATCTCAGAGGACCACATTCAAATAAATGTAAATGCCCTTTTTAAACATCGCTTCAGTGTTCCGCGGCAACACGGAGAACAATTATGTCTCAATTGTATTAATACTTAAATAATAGGATCATGGGACCGACCCAGTGGTGATTATAGTTAATACTATAATACTAATGCTTGCATTTTCAAGTAGTATAATATAATACTACAAAACCCATGTTCCAATTTTTTTCAAGTAAATCTATTTTTTTAAATCAAAATTGTAATTCCTGGTTGTGAAACTAAATTATATAATTATTGCCCGAGCATATAAACAGTTTTTGTGGTCTCTCCAGCACTGGATCCAGCTTCTGTGTGCGAGACTCATCAATATGGCGTAATTTTCCGTACACGGCTCAATAAGATCTCACTTTGAATACCAAATGCAGAGCCGACGTGTATCAACAGCTAAGTGCTGTCATTAGCTTTAGAGTCGTTCAAATTCAAATTGCTTCTGTTTCTTTCATGCCGAAAAGGGACTCGATGCTGCTCTTTGAAGGCTTTTAGCTTGACATGAAAAAAAATATCAATGAATGTGATGTGCTAGTAGAGATAGAGGTGGTTTTGTAATCATGTTGCTAACCGTTTTATATGTGTTGGGATAAAGTTTTTCTGAAATTACTAAATTAACATGGTTTTTCTCTTTACCTGTTTGGAGAATCGCTAATCACGTCTGACGTGTCCTGTTGAATGTGATTGCTGGAGTGCTTTTACTTTACTTGTATTTTCCTTTGTCTCCCTCTACAGGCCAGTGACCGAAATGGTGCAGGATATTTGTAAAGGGAACTGGCTGAGATTTGGGACGGGGAAACTAAAAGAGCTTTGTAAACTACTGCCAGAAGAAACTGAGGTAACAGCAGCTCCATTCATCCCTTTACGTTGTTTAGATATGAAAACAGGATTCATGATGTTGTTATTCCCTTTCATCGTACCCTGAAATGACTTACAAAGGGCCCCGAAAAAACGTTAAAGCGCGTGTGTGTTGACAGGTGAAGCTCCTGCGGTCGTTCAATGGGAGCCTCTCGGTGTTACCTGAGGCCGACCAGTTCATGGTGCTGCTGGTCAAAGTGCCCGGGTTCGTTTTGTGACACCGCTTCTTTTTGTTGTATTTTGAAATATTAGATTTTTCTTTGCAAACTCAAACCACCTAACGAGTGAAAAAAGTGAAAACAAATAACAAGTTCCTATGTATGCTTTATTCAGAATATTTTCACCGGTTTACATTGTAGTCATTTGCATGACACTGGATAATACTCGATTCAGCTCCTCTTCAAAACACCCAAACTATCCCCTTAATAACAGATAATGAAACTAATGATCCAGTCATTTAAAAAAAATGTATTAATGTGTCTTTCCTTCAGCTATGAGGAACGCCTGAAAACAATGATGCTGAGGGAAGAATTCTTTCCTCTTATGGAGGAAGTGAAGAACTCCGTTGCTGTCATGACCAAAGCAGCTAATGGTGACCTTTCACACGCATCCACCAAAGCTGCTAATCATTGGTACCCTGATTGTGTTTAAAACACAACCAGTTTAAATGAAGGCTCTTTATCTCATTTGTCTTTTTCTTTTAGAGCTCTTGGACTGTGATGACCTCCACTCGGTCATTCGCCTGGTGTTGAAGGCGGGGAATTACATGAACGCTGTTGGTATTCTTCCTTTTAGGATAATGTATCGAGTACCATTTAAAGTTTGGACACGTTTTCCCATTAAATTCAATGATAAACTGTGTCTAAAGCTTTGACTGGCCGTGTATTTGTTATGACTAGATGTATTTCATTCTGCGTATCTACGTTACCCTTTTGACACAGCATTTATCCTGCTGATGAATGGACCATTGACATGGTGTATTTTTCAGGGTGGTTACAGTGCCACGGCCAACGCCATTGGCTTCAGGATGACGTCTCTGCTCAAGCTGGCAGACACCAAGGCCAACAAGCCTGGCATGAACCTCATGCACTACGTTGCCAAGGTGAAGAGGAGCCCGGGGGAGGGGGGGAAATATCATGCTTGTGTCCCAAAAATCACTGTTGCTCGATTTTGCTTTTGTCTTCCACTTACAGCAAGCGGAGGAAATGGATGCCGAGTTGCTGATGTTTCCCAGCCAGCTTGAAAACATTGGGTTGGGAGCGAGGTGGCTACCATTAGTATACCGACAGTGATTTGACTGAAGATCGTTTGTTCACTAATGGAAGCTTCAAACGTTGTCTGTTTACAATCTGACATTGAATGTGAATACGCTGTGTAAACGTATGATGGTTTCTCGCCAACACAGAATTTGCAAAGAGGAGGTCATCGCAGACTACGAGAGGGAAGTGAAGAAAGTCAAGGAAGTGAAGTTGTACAGCAGCAAACAGCCCGACCTCTTACAGCAAATGGAGACATTTCTGTTGGTAAAGTTTCTGCTTGTAGTTTGACCATTTTAATTTTATTTTTAAGTACAAACTGAGCCTATAAGCGCTGCAGTCAGTTTATAGTCTAGTTCTCTCTCCATAGCTCGTGCTGTGTTGTCTCTCTGCAGAGGGCTGAGGCCAAGCTGGTTGATCTGGAGATCTCTCTTCGGGAGCTGAAGTCTGTGAGCAATGCCGTGGCTGAATACTTCTGTGAAGACTCCGCTACCTTCAAACTGGAGGAGTGCTGCTCCATCTTCCATTCGTTTTGCAAGCGGTTTGAAACGGCCGTGCAGGTAAGAAAGGTTTTGCAATAACGCCGAGTGCTTTTAAATGTCGGCGAGAGCCGCCCCGCCGGCCCCGCTCTTGTTGAACGCGTCCTGTGCGTAGGAGAACCGAGGGCGGGAGGCAGCGGAGCAGAGGCGCAAGCAGAAGGAGAGCGTGCGGATTGCAGGCAAACGCCGCTCGGCGGCGGCCGCGCCTTCGACTGCACCCGAGCGCCATCTGGAGTCGGCCCTACACAGCCTCCTCTCCGCCGCTCCCCAAGGATTGGCGCGATGCAGGAAGAACGTTCCTCCCACCGTCGACGGTTCCCTCTCGGTGTGCAGCTCTCGGGTGGTTCCGCCGGTGGTGGAAACAGAGACCACGCCAGGCGCTAAACAAGAGAAACTCAGGAACCAAACACCCAAATTGCAGAAGGAGGACGGGAACGTGGCAGAAGCAGAAGACAAAGAAGGGGCTCAAAGGACCCGCGAGATAACTCGGAAGGTGCCGAGATATCGCAGCGGCAAAAGCAGCGGCGGCGGTGACGGGGACGCCGCGTCGGGCACTCCCCGTCAGCGGCGGAGAGCGCGAGACACACCGGCTACCCCGAGTACTCCTCGGCCTAGATCCAGAGACTACTTCTTCTCTGAAGCCGAGGGTTTGGGCTCCCCGTGGACCATCCTGAGTCCCTTCACTTGCCCCAAAAGAACCGCCTGCCGCCAACGTAGACTATCCTCGGCTGCGGGCGGAGATGACCTCGAAGACGGAGTCTGGGAGAGTGACGAATGCAATTATCTCCCCAACTCCTCCAATCAGGAATATCTAACATCTCCCTCTGGGAGTTCTGCGTCTACTCCCGAGCGAACCAATCCGGGCGCTGTGTCAAACGGTCCGATCTTCAGGCCCGTTTCCATGGATGAAAACGGGCGATCTCCAGGATCCGGGTTCCGGCTGGGAGACTTGTTCCAGAGAAGCGTGTCTCAAAGGTCGTCACACTGCTCTGGATCAAGGACAGAAAACATGAGAGGAGGAGGAGGAGGAGGAGAAGGAGAAGAAGAAGCAGCAGGAGGAGTCAGTAGTCCATTGCTCGGTAGGCAGGGAGGGAGTCATGTAGAGGGACAAGGAAGCACCTCTGGGTTCATATCCTTCTTTAGACACATTGGGAGCAGAAGTAAGCACGTTGATGCAGAAGAACGCTTCAAAGGATCTAATACTTGATTAACATTTTTAGTTAGAGACAAAAGTCCAATGTTTGCCTTTTTTGTGTGTGTTTTAGATAAATTGAGTTAAAATGTGATATGTGATTTTTAATTGTTGAGGATTTACCCTTCAGTGGACCCAAGGCAAACGACGACTTGCTTTGAACAGTGACGGTTTTGAATTTGTGTGAGCCAAAGCACTTTGAAAAATCCTTTCTTTTGTCTTTTTGTACGCAATAAAGGGTGTCATTCTACCTTTTCTTAGGTTAACATTTCTCCTCTTCCACCCTTTTTCATTAAATCACCGAAGGGCTCACCTGTGCTAACGTCTCCTCAGCGAGGCCGGCTCACTCTCCAGTAGTTGCCTCCCGCTTTTGTCTGTTGTCTCTTATCTGTCAGCCTGACCATCGGGCAGTTATTGAGACGTGAGCCATATAACCTCGATCACTCGTAGGATATGAACCGGCAGACAACCCTAGCTAAGCAGCACTGTGCCCCCACCCCGGGCTGCACAAAAAGACATTCAGCTGTGTTACTTGGGTAACCGGGTTTGTTTACAGCCATTTCATTTGAGCTCTTGGTGTAATAATACTCTCTAGGACAAGCTGCTCCTTTTCTGGCAAGGACCCGCTGGGGACATTCGCTATCGCCTGGGTTTGCAAATCAGGGGATGTTGAATAGAATAGAAACAAGGAATGTGTTGTTGGTCAAACAAAAGCTCAAAGCAAGGCCTCATACACAAGCAGAGATAAAGGTCCGGTAGTTGGAGCTGAGCGCTGCGTCAGCAGCGGCTGAGCGGTTTGGCGTAAAACGAGAGGGCCAAAGGACAATCGGCCCTTTGTGGTAAAATGTTGAGTGCATCCCAGAAACCGTCTCATGTGAGTCAACCTCGAGGTGACCTGAATCTGTGTGTCGCGGTGAAAAGATGAGAAACAGGCGTGAATACGTAAGCGAAAGGAGGTGACCGGGGAGGAACTTGGACCAAGTTAGAGAGAGGGAGGAGACCAGTTGAATGACGACGAAGCATTTAAGCCGAAAACGCCGCGTCTTAAAGAGCAAAACATAAGCTCACAAGGACTTACGGATGAAAGGAAAAACTTGTCTGCTGCCGACCCTGGATGTTTTTTTTCACTGTGGGAACCGGCACCTGGACCGAAAATTCCTTGCAGAACGCACATTGTTTTCCCGAGTGTATAATGACGGCTCGACTATGAGGTACGTTGTCAGGTAAAAGCATTGCTCCAAATGAACGTTCTTCCAGGTTTTGTTTCTTATTCCCGCATAGGCCTTAAGCATTAATCCCTAAAGCAAAGTGGCTCACTCTTTGGTAACATGACAGAAAATCACATGGTGTGTGACTCCCCACAGCAGCTTTGGGCCTTAGAACATTTACAAGCATTTTTTTGAAAGTTTCCAGAGTTGTTAAACAAAAGGATTTACATTTTGCGGTCAGAGGTGATCGTCCTTAATCTACCTAAGTGTATTTTGAACTGGATTGTGCTAAAGAAATTGGCAATAAATGCTTTTCTGAATACCAGGGCATCTATTTCTATCCACTCTGTTACCTTTGTATATTTGATAAGTGTTTGTCTTCTCCATTTTAAGCTTTTCAATGATGATGAACATCCGGTAAAATGTTGAGATGCTGTTAACGCTTTTGTCCCCAGTCAGTCACTAGATGGTGCAACAACAAAGGTATGTTCATATATAATTTGATTCATCGACAGGCAGTTCATCGAGCCACGACCGTTCTCCACAAAATAATAGTTTGAAAGCAAGTAAAATAACAGATTATTCAAGTTTAATTTAAGTGACGCCACTTGTGGAAGTATTCATGTGACATAGTTGTACGCGTTCATGGTCCCATCACACCATCAAGAGGAGGATGTAGATGAACCTCTGATCGTACGGTAAAACCAAACGCAATCTACTGAATTGTTCTGATGTACTTTTGTTTTTGTATTTCAGAAGCGTTCAGATCTGTCTGTTGGTCTCAGCTGTTTTCTGAAGAGGAACATCTCGACCTCCATTAGTGACAGGCTTGTTGGTAGTGGAATGGATGGGTAAGTACAGTTGGCACACTTTGGGGATTGTCTGTTTGACACTGACGATATACAAAGATAAACTGTGTTTAGCTCTCAAGTGGGTAATCACATTCATCAGTCGACTTAAAAAAGGGTCGCTCTGTGCAGATATTCGTGTCCTTCCTGCACCAGCTGAAGTCGATCTGATTAGGACGCATGCTGTTATTTATCTACGCAGATGAGATGGTTTTAAATGTCATGGAGTTAGAGCGGCGCACAGCGAATTGATTAGCTGGGTAAATGTCACTGAATGCATGGCAATGATGTCAGTGCGCATGTCTTTTCCATCCAATTGACTCAACGAAATATGTAGCCCAAGTGATCTGACGGAGGGATGCAATCATGCATGTGAGTCTTGTCTCCAGGAAGTCCTTTGTTAAAGGTCAAAGGAACTTTGCTGTAACTTAACAAGAATAATCTTCTAGCAATATGTGCCTTCATTAATGTGTGTGTGGCGAGTCAAAAGCTTGTCTATATCTGCAGGGCTTTTCTAAACCAGAGACCAGGTTTTATGATTTGCTGACCCGGTATGAGTGGCTAACTGGAATAGCGAGAGAGATATAAAGATAGAGAGAGAGAGGGGGGGGGGGGGGGGAGTGAAGCCATCTGTGTATCCTGGTGCACTGGATGCAGTCTCCATGGCAACATGCTGCTCTCGCAGTAAAAGATGGCTTTGTACCCACCCCCTCGCGCATGCACATAAGCATACTTGCAAGGAGGATGTTTATTATGCCTCCAATGTCCAAACATACACACAGATATTAAGAACTCCACAGTTGCTATTTTCCTGTCCATATACTTTACTGTTACATACCCTCTTTACCCCTTTATTTTCTCCACTGTCCCCATGTTTTAGACGCACACTTTGCAACATTCTTGGTTGTCCTTCAGAAGATTGCATCTCCGTTTTAAGATGAAGTTCTTCACAAGCACGTTCTTCAACTCTCTGTGTTCCCGACAGAATCCAGTCATTTATTTCTTTGCTTTGATCAGCTCACCTGAACTCTCTGTGAGTGAAGAGGAGAGGACCAGTAATATACTTTTTTCACACTGACTAACTCATTTTCTCTCATCAAGCATCACATTCCTGTTTGATATTTGGAACTTCTCTCATTCTCCCTAGAAGTGTAATCAAAGGGAGAGAGAAAGATTCAGGAGAGGTAAAGGGGAATGAGAGGAAAAGAGCTCTGTCTCTTTGTTGCCATCTCTCCTTCCCACTGCTCATCTCTTGTACTATTGGTCCATCCAACCCCCTCCCATTTCTACTGCAGCCAGTCAGCTCATTCAATCTCTCTTGTTTCTCTTGCCTCCTAAGAGCCTCTCTCTCTCTGTACCTCAGTCGTTTTCCCTCCCGCAGCACACACACGCATGCGTTGAAGCTGGATCTGGATCCCGCTCATACGCCGCCTCCCTCAGTAGACTCTGTGTGAAGTGCTTTTTTGGGGCAATGTTGGGTTTAGTGGAAGGTTATTGCTCCCTTTGGAGGAGAGCAAGCTGAAACTTCCCCTGTAGCTCCTTCATCCGCCAGCAAGCTGCTGTAAGTAGTCTCTCTATTCCACACTCATGCCTTCGTGCCCATTCTGACTGGGTGCCAGCGCTCATTTCTTCGTCCTCTACTGTTTTTCCATTTCACACTCGTCTCCCCCCTGGCAGAGGGTGCAAGCCTTTCCTTCCTGTCGTGTCCCACTCTCTCCACCTCATGTCTCTCTCCCGTTTCCCCTCCTTCCCGCTGGTGGACGCTTACACCCGGTGTCGTCTGTATGCAAACCAATGTCGCAGCCCATTTGCAGGCCTATGATGGGTGTGTGCTGCGCAGCATGACCTGCATGTGAGATACGCTGTATGTGAGGCTGAACCTGCCTGTGATTAATAATGAATGGCGAGACAGGCCACAGTACTCGTTGGATCTAACTGCAGGTTGTTGCTTTCAAAAAAAAAGAGAAGCTTTTACTGCTTTCGTTGAGTATGTCGGACACTGTGATTTTTTTTTTTAAACAGAAATTGACGTGTCTTTTGGAGCAACTTTACAAAATTCACTTTTGTTTACATAAACAACTCAATTCCACTCAATGTTCCATCAAAATCTTTCAGAACTTCCCAGATAGTATCATAAATACATCAACATAAAGCTCAAAGCAATACTGTTACTAAATTTGCCTTTACTCAGTCAGTAAAATAACTGTCAGGAGGTTTAAACGTCATCTTTCACCAGCTCTAGACTTTGGTCCCATGCTGCAATATTAATATACAGTTGATATGCAACACGTGACTTTGTGATAAAGCATGGTTGCTTTGATGATGATTTCAATACATCTCCAACAAGACTGGAGATGACTTCAACATGACTTATTTTTTTTAAAAAGGATTGAACTAGTGACCCGGGTGCTCATCTTGTTGCTGTGGATGGAAACCACCAGAATGGAATGTCCAGCTGGTATGGGAGGAATGTCACTAGAGCTGCATTGGGAGGCCTGAGCGTCAGGCAAGAAGAGATATAAACTTTACGATGCACTGAATGATTAACTGAATGTCCTGACTGCCGTACAGCGTTGATGTAGTTAGTCAGAGAGCTGTTGCTGTGCTTGGATTATCAGCCCACTTGACGCACATGCTGAAGTCCACCAACAGCCAGTGCAGCAAACCATTCAATGAGAACCAATTTGGAAGCAATGTTGGGTTCTAATAATAACTTTGTGCAATTATGTTTTATTTTGGCATCCAAATGACTTGTTTTTGTAATCCCTCTTGTACTATGACACATTATGCAGCAAAAACACCTGTTAGTAAACTGTGTGTGTGTGTGTGTGTGTGTGTGTGTGTGTGTGTGTGTGTGTGTGTGTGTGTGATCAGTTCTACAGGGATTGCGTTGCCATGGCGAACTGCAACAGAATCCCTCCTCCACTGCATAGTCAAACCAATGTCTGAATTCGTGTACATGATTTTATATTTATTATACTCCTTTTATATCACACCAGAGAGGGAGAAATGTCTCTGACGGCAAAAAGTATGAAGTCCATTCAACTCATTCATTCAAAGTTGTAACTTTGTTAGTTCCTCTGAAAGATGTAACAGCTTCTGCTGGGGATTCTGTAACAGTCTGGTTAGGTTTAATCTTTAAGCTGTGATGGTTCACATGGCTTTACTGTTCATTTTATATCTGTTTCGGGGACATAGGGACTTAGGCAATAGATGTGGTCATGTTGGATTTATTTAGATAGATTCCTCAAGGAGGCACAGTAATAGCACTGGCCACATTGCACCTTTCATATGAATCATTTCAGATAACATCGGTAGGAAAATATTGTTGTTTTACTCACTGACCCATTGTACTATTGATGTTTCTGGGTTCACTGTCTTGGTGGTGATCGTGTGTTAGGCCTTTACTTCTTGAAGGAAACACACTCTCAGACGGATTGGAGACACGTCAAGCCGGACCGTTTTAGATCTCAGCATTTGTACTGTATCCGTTTGAATAAAAAAGTCATAACAAACCAAATAGCTCGCTGATAGCAGTTAAACTGCTGTCAATATAAATGAAAGTAAATTGTCTCAGTACCTCTGTGTGAAATCCTAAATTCGTGGCTCATTCTTTGGCCGTTTGCTCCACAGACTTGCATCTGCGCTAATGAGGTGCAGTTAGAGTCACGTAGAGCTTTTGTGCGTCTGTGTGTGCGTGCCGGAGTGTGAGCCATGTGTTAATATGCTGATACAGGCGGTTCCTGTGACACATTCCGGCCCAGCTTGGCTCAGATCAGGCAAGCTGATAATTTTAGCAGCGCTTATGTCAGTGAGTCCGGCTGTGTGTGGACAGAAAAGTGTAAGTACCGCTCGTCGACATTAGTCATCCGCTGCATCATCCCTGCCGGAGGACTTTACGTGATGAATGTGTGTGTGTTGCAACGCGCCTCTCGGTTTTTCTACCCTGACATCAAAGCAGCAATCTGACGTTTCGAGCAGACTGAGGGGCAGTTCTGAACCAGGCATCACGAATGTGTGGTCAGTATGTGATTTTGATTTGATTTTACAGAAACATCAACTGTTCGATACGACTACCTTTGTGGCCATTTTGAGGCCCTGTCCGACTGGATTGCATTGTATTGGAAGGAGTTGCTGTTATTTTGTCTACCAGGAGTTTGTTTGTGCCACATTCTTAGTTTTCCTAGTTCATGTGCATGTGAGGTTGACAAACATATGCGAATCCTCTGACCCATCAGCAAGCAAAAAAATTATTTTCAAATCTTCACACTGTTAAGGAAAGCCATAATAAACATTTATCTACGGCAGGGTTTTGACATGATGCCCGTTCACAAGGTGCAGCAAAAAACTAGTTCCGTTCCTCCGCTGTGATCGGTGTGCTGAATATTTGGCTCTTACATAAACATAAAAATACCTCTTTTTTTTTCCCCCTAAAAGCACCCAGATTATTGCAAACTTCACATGCTCACCTGGAAAAAGAAATTGCTGGAAGGTTTGTAAGACTACTTTACAGATCATTGTGGCCTGAATTCTCTGGATAGCATTGTGACATGGACGTAGCTGTTTATGTTAATATATATATTTAGCCCAGAGCGTCTATCCCCTCAGTTATTTAAAGCAACAAATTATTTCAGGATCAGCTGCTCTATCCTGTGGCACGTGCTCCTATTTCACTGGAATGTTTCTCTCTGCTTGGAGAGGGTTTGTTAAGATAAGAAAAACATTTAACATTAAAACAACAATCAAAGACAACATTTGTATTTCTATCTGTACTGTATGTACGACAGAATCTAGCTGTGCTGTACATATAGGAGTTGCCTTGATGTTGTGCGTGTCAAAAAAGTCTCTTGATGAAGTTCTGTTTAAGGGGAGATAAAATAGTCACAGAGAACTTAAAAAAATATACTCATTTGACTAATTTATTTCTGGTGAATTGTGAGACAGCAACAATCCCGCTAATAATAAATACTTAAAATATGATGACTTTACAGAGTCTTGACCAA